AATGAATAAATGAGAACCCGTAAAATATACTGACTTGGCCATCGAAGACTTATACCCCTTAAGGAATGTAAGGCGAACGAGTACGGTAAGATTTGTAAATTAAAAGCTCCACATAAAAAACAGCATGACGGAGTGATTCAACCCATGAATAATCGAAACTGGGAATCATGATCTTTGTCACCACAGTTTGATTTTTAAAGGCTTATGATTCAGCGTGTTCTTTTAAAATTATTTATGAACGTCAGAATAGGTCTCTTTTTACTTCAGCACGTCATAGGTGTCGATGAGAGCTAGAAAACCAGACGGATAGGAAGAAGCGAAAGTAACGAACGCCAGGAGCTCGCTTTTGTTTATTTCCGTCAACAGCAAGTTCGGAAACAACTTTACCAGTTCTTCGACGAAGCGGGAAGCGACTGCAAAGATGTCGACGGGTTTGCTATCAGCTGTAGTAAGAAGGACGACCTGAAATATCATAACAATCATGGCTTACGTAATTTGGAACGCCACCAAACTGCTACTTCATCAACCGCAATCGCCCTATCGTCAAACGAGCAGACAAACGAATGGGCCTGAGTTCCGACGGGCGGGATGCCGAACAGCCGGCTGGCTAAAACATTGCTAGTCGCATCGAAGCCTAAACAACGATAAAATCAAATTTTCGTATGGAGCAAATATAATTTGTGGCAAACTGGTGAAATTAACAATCGCCAAATGAATATAAACCGAACAAAAAGATTTATACATTAAGATTGGAAGGACCAGGAAGAGCAGTGTCATCGAACGTCTATAGCAATTCAACATAGGTACACCTGAACTGTGAGATTGCTCATGGTTGAACGTAAATTTCATGTCTGAATACATGTCCCTAAAAAACAGGATAAACGTACTGATTACTGAGTGATTAAATACAAAAGCAACAGGATATGAAAACAGTACATTTTACTCAAACTGAAGAAAACGTTTGGGTCAGAGCAGAAGAACCTTCACACACGCTTTGTGTTATGATTCGACAGCAATTTCTCTGTTTCTTGATGTCAACAACTAAGCATTGTATAACTTCAAGTAAATAATACATGGAGCGGGTCTCAATGTTTCTCTTAAGGCTCGTTAATCAGCTTGTCCTCAAGAGATAAAAGTTCGGTCTATCCATGATTATAAGCGTCTCGTTAGCTAAATGCTTCGATGTTTGGGAAATTTCAAGACTAAAAAAACACACTCACGATATTTTCACCTGAAAAGGGATCCCATAATTTGACCACTGACTGTTACTTGCAGCGTGGGCAGTTTCCAGTGAAAAATGTAGCAGTAACTATTGCCTATTTTAAAATACTGAATATGGGATAAGGGCAAGCAAACCTAGCTCAGTTTACCTCTTCCTCACGTTATTCAGAGGTTAGCCAACTAACTGACCTGGGCGAAACACTGGTTCTCGCGTTTTAAACTGCCAAACAACAAC